CGAGTCAGTCCCTAAAAGACCGAGTCAGATGGACCGAGTCAGTCCCTGCAGAATCGAGTCCGACTCCATTACTGCAGGTCAGCAGCAGTCGGAGCAGAGAGCTGCTCTAGTAACGGTTCAGGTAAGTCGGGTTTTAGCCAGGCATTAAAAACAAATAAATCTAGATATTTTTTCATTTAAGTCGAGTTTTTTGGGGGCGAATGTGAGACAAAGTTTAAAACCAAGTCCTGCTTCAGGACAGTGAGCAGTGCCTGTGATAATGGCTGCCTTCAGGTCCAGGCCTCCCTTGAAGCTGAGATCTGTGACCTCAGTGGGATTTGACTGATTGAAGGTTATTAATAATTGTGATCCATGTCTGAATATTAAATAAAAGCTGCGCCCGACCCTCTCTTGTGGTCTTCCTCAACATTAAAGGTACTCATTAGAAATTATAAATCCAAACATTAACGTTATCCTGAACCAAATCAATTGATGCAGTTTGACTCCGGTAGTTTTCCGGATACGTAGATATAATTCTGAAATTAACAATGTAAGTAAAGTATTCTGCCAAGAACCACGCTGAAGCTGGTGAAATGCTAAACGCAAAGGAAAAATGGGGAATCTTTAGGAACAAACGTCAGCGATGGAGCAGGGTGGTGGAGCACCGTGAAGTCAGAGCTCGACATTTAAAACCAACTTTTATCTAAACCCTTCAAAACCGGCAGGTTTACCGTTTCAACTGAACTCATCTTTTCATCTGCAGAAATTAAAGAACAAATCTGAGCGTAAACGCATCAAAACTCACATCCCTCCATCCCAAACGGCTCCCCACCAACGATGACCTAGTTCCAGTCGCCACAGCTGTTCCTGGAGGTAAACGAACCAGCAGCCACAGATTCATCTGACAGATCTGACATTTAAGGAACACGAACCATCAAGATGAGAACATGTGGTGGGGATTTGCTTCAGCTGCGATGTGAAGCTGCAGCTTCTTCTTCAGCAGAGTTCACATCTACTTTTCTCACTTTAAGTGCAATAAAACCTGCGGGTGCAAAGCCAGTCGGTGTTTTTAATCCCCGAGCTGCTTAAACCAGCCGCCGCTGGACGTTACAGAACCTCTGCTTTCCTGAGGTTTTCTCCCAAACGAGCCAGAAAGGCAAAAGCTTTGCTCGCTAACCACGTTAGCTTTAGCTGGTAATAATTAAGCACTGTGCGCTTACGAGCTGTGGGGTAAAACGCTAAAGTCCGGAGCTTTAGAAGAGGTTCTTCGAACTTTCCAGCGTGAAGATACGACAAGGTCAAAACAACGGAAGCGTTCGAACATTTGATCGAAGCCGTCAGAAGCTTCAAGTCTGAAAAAGGTTTCAACTAGAAGCTAACGCGTTTTATTTGGACTCGTTTAAACTCAAGAGTGAAGGAGGAGAGTAAACCTGGTGTGAGTGGTGTAAGTAACCTTTCTATGCCAAAGCAGAAGTGTTTTTGTTCCCCACGAGGATACGACGTGTACGAAAGGTCTGATCACCACCAAATATGGAAGGGAGGTTTCACCAGGAGTGAGCCTGCGTGGACAGGAACTAGACTCCCTGAAGTCTGGGCTGGGTCTGGGTCCGACTGACTCGGAGCCTTCTCCCTGATGACAGAAACCATCTCACATATAAGGAGGGTCTGAGTAAGTCTGTAGGAGTCTGCGTTTTGGGTCTCGACGCTGCTCAACTGACCTCGGTTGTAACAAACTCCCATTTGTGTTCAGTCAGTTTCAGTTTCATCCATTTTTGATTTAACAGAAACGTTGAGCCACAACTTTAGGATGGAGGAGGCGGAGCTGACTCGGCCTTTCTGCTGGTTCTCCAGTGACCCCAACAACAGTCAGAAGAAGCGAGGCTGCGACGGAACGACTGAAAGAAGATGATTAAATGAAGCAAACCGTGTTAACAACAAACGAATCAGGGCGACAGAGAGAGGAAGAAAAAGACGGGAATGTGCTGCGAGAGTCGGTGTTTGTCCCTCCGAAGGCCGAGGCTCATTTTCTGATTGGACCGTACGAGACGCTCCGCTGAGACGCGTTTCATCTTTTATATGCGTGTGTGTGTGTGTGTGGGCGGGGGGGCTCATGGCTGTTTCCTGCAGGAATATTAGCATATCAGGGGTCAGAGGTCAGTGTCTCGGAGAGGAGGTCACAGTGGGGATGAGGTGAGGTCAGATCCGAGGCAAATGCTTCTCGATAAATTCCTTTACAGCTGCCATCTCCTGCAAGAGCAGAAACAAACGACATCAAAGAAGGAAAAGCAAAAAGTTTAGAGAAGTTAAAGTGTTACGACAGTTTTTAGTAATAAATATGAATGCAGGTTTGAAACAATAATGTTATGTCATGCAAAAATAAAAATCACAGCACTGAGATAAACAGTAGAGAGTTTCATGAGCAGTAACAGGAAGTGATGTCATGTAACAGGAAGTGATGTTAAAGGGGAACTCCTGCATGTGATCAGATGTTGCAACGAGAAGAATCTGAGGTTTCTTATTTTGAGTCACGATTAGACGAAGATGAGCCTGAGTTCAAATAATATTAAAAAAAAAAAAAAGACCAGGAAGTTCCCCTTTGATGTCACTTCCTGTTTCACTCTGGCATATTTTATTTTGAACTTTGTGCAGTTATGTGAAAAAATGGGTAAAATCCTGTGTTATTATGGCAAACGTTAAACATCCAGATGTTTTCTTCCACTCCTTGTATTTGCAGGAAATGCACGTCACGGGCACTTGAACTTGTTGGGGTTGTGTACGTCTGAAACGTTCTGATTCAAGCAGAAGCCGATGAGAAACATTTGACTCGTGGTTCCTGAGCGGGATCAACTCATCCTCATGAAGACAAGCGGTTCCTCGAACCAGAACCAGAACAATCATGAAGCTGGACGTGAAGTCACCAAACAACAAACTGCATTTAACAGACTTTCTTTGAAGGGACTCTGTGTTGGTGACGACTCTCAGCTACTTCCACACCAGATGTTAGCTCAACATCTGTAAGAGTCTTTGTTATAACCATCGTTGTGTTTGCTAAGCTGGCTGTGGAGGCCATCTTGAATTTGGTTTGACTCCAAAGGTTAATCAGTTAAAAAGGGACAACCAAATAATTTAATTTTTAAGTTTTATTAAAATCTGTTTGGTGGTTCATGAGATATTTTTATTCATGATTTTACACCAATTAGTTCATGGTAATTTTTACCAAAGATCTTCTCAGAATATTTGTTGGAGCCCCCTCGGCTGCTTCCACCCAAGCTCCAGTTCAGTCTGTCAAACTGCCTGAACGGCCGTTGTGTTTTGAAAGGTTAGTTGTCACTGGCACCCATCTGACGCCCAAAACTAAATGATGTACATTCCATGAGCACATTTTGCAAGTTCAACATTTACACAAGCAAATACATGATTGCCCGCCTTGGCCTTTCGGCGGCGGGTCAACGTGTTTCCTGTGGATCTGGCGGCGGCGGTACCTGGGGACAGGAGCTGTGAGGGAGCCCTGGGTAGGTCTTAAAGGTGAGCAGCTGAGGGTTGACTATGGATTTGAGTTTTTCTGCGGTCATGGCACCGAACTGCGCGGGGATCATGAAGTCCATCTCTCCGTGGCACTGCAGGATCGGGAGGTTCTTGTTCCCGCTCGACGCCTGCAGGACAAACAGACCCGGACCGTTAGCCCCCCTCGCTGTACCTGCAGAACTAGTTCAAGGTTTAAAATATGGATTCAGAGAGTTTTGGTACCGAAGGGAAACTCCTGTGAAGAGGCAGCCAGCAGCTGAGGGCCACGACGCCGGCCAGCTGGTGCTGACAGGTCAGAGCGGTGTACAGGGACAAGGCCCCGCCCTGAGGACCAACACAAACGAACGTTACACTCAACACAACGCCGACCTCTCACTGACGATGACAGAAACACGAGGCCCACCCCACCTGAGAGAAACCACCGAGGATTATCCGGTTTGGGGGGATCCCATTTTTAGCCTCGTGTTCGATGATGGCCTTGACTGGAAGAAAACAGAGACATGACCGCGCTTCATGGGAAAATCAACGTTTGAGTTACTCCTAACAAATGATCTTCTAATGATCCGCTGCTGATGTAGGAGTGAAACGGTAGAAGGCGAGTGTGACGAGCTTCAGAGCATCTCCTGGTCTCTGCTGGCGTCAGAAACTAAACTCACTGTTTTCTGCTGCCTTCTTGATTCCTGCTTCGTCCTCCTGGGAGTCGGGGCTGAGACCCATGAGGTCGAACCTGCGCACAAACAAACATTACTGCGGTTTCCATGGAAACAACAGCATCCAGCGTTGAGCGGAGGGGCGGGCCAACTCACCATGCGGGCATCAGGGACCTCATGTTGAGGGTGACGGGGATCTTAGGCCTGGGGGGGGGAAGAGGAGCAGAGTGCTTTAGTTGACGAGTCAAAACGAAGGAGGAAATATAACAGAGGAGGAAAACTAGTTCTCACGCGTGAGGGCAGATGAACTTGACGTGAGGAACCTGGATCCCTGCCAGAGTTTCTGCCCAGCCGTGCCTGAAACGGGAAACGGACCAGTTCAGCCTGCTGGGTGCAGATCTGGCGCCTTTTCTCCAGAGTATTAGAGATCTCAGGGTGTCTAGTTTATCTCAATATCTGTAAGATTTATAATCTTTTTTAGGTTTATAAGCTGCAGCAGCCAGAAGTATACTCACCCTGTGTCTCCTAATCCGTGCAGGAAGATCATCTGCGCCAAAAACAAAACTCATCGTTAACATTTTCCTTAAAACTCAGATTAGAGACGTGCTCATGACCGATAAATGAAACAAGAGTTGTGTCACAATCTGAGGAAGAACGTTCGTGGCGCTGCGTCATGTTTGTAGCTCGTCTTTGGTCGTGAGACTTCAAGCTCTGAACGTCACGAGTTGTATTGGTGACGAACAGCTCGCTGCGGGCTCTACTCACCGCTGCAGTCTCCTTCTCCGACCCGGACACCGTCACAGCCTCGGCGAGCAGCGGTAGAGACATGTTGTTGCCACACATACACTGAAGGAGGTGCTGGAACAAGAAGACGCAAAGCAGAGGTCAGCTCCATCACAGCGAGGCGAAACATTTCACACAGCAGCTCAAAACTCAGCCGAAGGTCTTTGTTGGGTCTGCGGTGCCTTCAGATGAAGTCTGAGCTTCTTCTGTACGATCCAAGTTTAAACAGTTATCACATCACTTTAATCTGGTTTAACAAGATCACATTCAATCCAAACAACAGATTCACTTTTAAACCTCTGACGGAGATGGCTGCGACTTTTTTAAATGAGAAAATGTTTGTGACTTCTTGTAAACACATTTGTTAAATTAAAAATCCCCAAATATAAAAGTTTAATGTAAAAATAATCCAGAGAGGGCAGGGGAACGTCTCAAGTCCAGCTCAGTGTCGGCTCTTAAAGCAGAACGTTTTCTGTTGTTGCTGCAGCTTTTTGTCTCAATACAACAAAACGTGTTTATTTTTATCTAAACAATAAAAAGCAGCAGATTTTTCTTGTTAATTGAAATTTAAATAAAGCTGTTTGTCTCTAAAGCTCACAGACGGGTGGTCGGAGGCTCTGCAGACACACGTACAGACTAAACTGGACCTAAAAGCTCCGGCTCTGAGGAACACTCGGTTCAACAAACCAGTTAAAGCTAAACGTCCGGCCTGCTGGGCCCAAGAAGAACTCAGAAGTCTGAGGTCAAACTAAATGAAACTGCGCTGAGAATCGACCGCAGCTCGTCGTGGGTCAGACTCAACAACGAGCTGCGATCAGGAGGTTTCACGAGCGGATCAGAGACCACAACTGCCTGAGAAGCAACCGGAGAGTGTCTGAAACATGAAGGTTAATGAGTAAACCTTCAGCAGGAAAACTCCTAATGAGTTAAATTCCACGGCAGCTAAACACCGAGCGTGTGTGAAAGTCCAACAAGCAGCCGAAGCAGCTGGGCGGAAAACGTGACTTCAGGGTGCAAAGTGTGCCCGAAAGGCGACCGTTCTTTAGTTCTGCTGCCTGACCCGGATAAATGAGTGACAGACGGGAAAGAAGCCGGAGACAGAGGGTTCAGCCCGAGCCAAAGAGCGAACTGAGCAGATCCACAGGGGTGGGGGCCCAGAAGAACCGGTACTGAACCCAGACTCAGGACTGACGGCTCCACGTTCCCGTCAGGACCGGATGTTTCACCTAAAACACAAACGTTTGTTCTCAAACTCTGGACTTTTTGTGATTTGAGTTCTCAAAAGTCTCTCACAAACCAACAACTTAAAACGTATTTAAACATAACTTTATGTTTATTGAACAGTTTTTACTGGGCTAACTGGACGCCAGCACACTTTGAAGCATTGTTTGAAGGAATGCATGTCGCCCGTCTCGTTTCACGCCAGTTCCGATCGTCTTAACGAGAAGAAGGACATTTGATTAGATCTAGACTGTGAGATCTTTGGAGACGAGTACGGACTGAAGATGACCCTCAGATACTACCACACCAGACTTTAGCTCAGTTTCTGTGAAACTGATGAGTTAAAGCCGTTTTGTGTCGTCTGAGGTTGACTAGTGGCGGCGGCCATCTTAAATCTGGACGACTCTGAGAGTTAACGAGTCACAAACAAACAGCGTCAATAAAAACGTGATGACCTCTTCTGACGTGACCTTACAGTGAATATTAAAATAAAAACAATAATAAAGCTCTTAACATCTCACATTGTTCAGTTTTAATTAAGATCTACAAGAACTCAAATGTGAGAACAATAAAATAAAAAAAATTAACTTATTTCCCTCAACTTTGGTAATGTATAACAATAAAAAATACGTAATTGATTCTCTTAATTTCTTATTCAAATAACCTGCAGAGTGAGTAATACAAAATTACTGACGCTTCTTTAGTTACATTTAGCTGATAAATAACTTGAGTTGTATTTGAGCTTTTTGCATCTTGTCTGACAGTTTCCTTAAACTCGGATAAAAAAAAACACTTGAGGGTTTTTTCTGTGGCTGTGAAACATCAGACAACATCAAACCGAGCGAAACGACACGTTTACGCCAAACAGTCGTTCAGCAGGAGCAGCAGGAGCAGCAGGAGCAACAGGAGCAGCAGGAGCAGCATCACTGCGAGGGGATGTAAAATCAACGGTTAGGAAGTTTCAAAGATTACTGAAGCCTCTGCTTTCTTCCTCCTGAATATAACTTACTGAATTCATCCCGACTCATTCTGAAATACGACATAGTTCCTTTTTAAAGCCTGGAGCGACACAAGCAGCGCATCAGTACTCTCACAATATTATCGGAAATGGTTTCTTTTTCATATTTCATTATCAAGATTTAGAAGGTTTTGAAATTGAGAAATTATTGTGGTTTTTTTTCAGAGACAGCCACCTTAAAAATATATTCAGCTTATTCATATTTACTTTTATTCATAAACTATTTACTTATAAACTGTGAGCAGCTCACAGTTGAATTTTTCAGGTTAGAATCTTAAATCTTAAAGACTACAAGTATTTCTGAGGGTTGATCAATATAAATAAATATATATATACAGTATTTATAACAAGAATCACATAATTAAATATCATGTTAGATGAAAATTACAAATTGACCAAAAGTAAAAATATATCTGCTGCCCTGATTCTTAAAAAAGCAGCATCGTCACCAAAGTTACTTGTAGCTGCACATTCACATCCTATAATTACTTCATGACATATTTTGCTAACAGACTGTTCATTTATTAATGTTAATGCTTAAGTTGAAAACAAAGATCTGTTCAGTGTGCAGCACTTGCAGTATGTCTTGTGGGCAACTCTCAGCCACTACCACCCTTAATTCTAGCTCAGCGTCTACAAGTTTGACTGAGTTACAGCAATTTTGGTTTTTACTAAAATGTGTGGCTCGTTAGAATCCGTCCAGTGGTTCATGGGATATTTTGCTAACACACAGGCAGGGTTTATGGTGATGCTCAGCTACAACCAACAACTTTCAGCTCATTCATCGTGAGTAAAATGGTTTTAATCCGTCGGGTTTGTATAAAAGCATCGTGTCACTTGACAGATAAATATTTAATTTAATAAAAGTGAACAGAGAAGTCCATCACGCGCTCCTGCGTGACTTCACTCAGAACAGGCGGGCTGCATGGGGGTGGCCGCGAAGCGCCTGAACAAAAAGCTCAGATCCGCTGGAAAACAGCTGGATCTTTAATGTGCGGCACTGAGTGAGTGACGGGCGGGCTGGGGTTACACTGTCACCCGCTGCTCACCATGGAGCCCAAAGCCGCAGATCCGCTTCATAACATCGTTTCATCTGATACGCTGTTAGCATCGGCGGCTGTCGACGAGACAATGAATGGCTCCAGCTTTTAGCCAGGATGGTGATGACGGCGCAAACAAAGCCCGTGATGCCCCAGAACACACACACTGACCGAGACCCCCGCCCTCACACCCTCTGGGTCTAATCCCGTAGCTGCACACACACATGCACCGAGTGGGCAGAAGAGCGCCGGAGCTAACGACAACCGTATTGTCCTCTGCCGGTGTCTGACTTCACGTAACGAAGGTAGCCGCTACGGTACAAATTAAGAACTTTAAACACCGGCCCTTTCTGGGAAAACCCCTTAAACAACAGAATATCTCAAAACAGTTAATCTGGAACCGGATTAAAAGGTTTTAAATCCCATCCGCGGCCCGCTAGCTGACACAAAACGCCTCCACTCACCGCTTGCTGTACCAGTTCACGAAGGGGCGGGACTTCCTGTATTCGTTCGTACAAAAGGGGGAGGATTCGTAGTGACGTCACTAGAAAGCACCGCCTACTCTTTTTTGTTATGATTTTTTACATTTCTATTTTCGTAAATGATTTAGTATTTAAACAGATTTTTTTCTTTTTTGTACGTCTTTGACAATCTATTGCTGCATATTTTGTTTTGGCCGTTTGTAACTTGCATAATTTAATTAAATCAGGTCTCTTGTCCTCGAGGCTCAATGGGATTTACCCGTCTAAATAAAGGTTGAATGAATTACAAAGGTTTTTGTCTCCATAATTTTTCAACATTTTTTAAAACTGTTCGTTTTAAATCTGCTCCATACTTTTTTTTGTCTTCCTATGCTGTTGGCAATATTTTGCTGCTTTAGGTATTTTGCATTTTGCAAGATTTTTCTACACTGAGCTATTTTTTAAGTCACAATAAATGTGATGTTTCTGCATTTTGTCAATCTCGGGTTTATGTCAAGAGAAAAAATGGTTTAAGCAGCCCTTTCCCCTGCTTTTGTTTAAACTTTACATAAAGCAGTAAGGACTTCATCACAGGTATTGATTAACTCTGGAAATAAATCATCCAGCTGAGGTCACTTACAGCTTTACAAAAGTCAAACAGAAGTTTTAATATTTAGCTTTTATTCTCTGAAGCATTTTACAAAAAAGGCATCAAAAATTGCTCAAATTTTCAGTTTTGGTAAATATCAAATTAAGTTAATTTGTTCATGTCAAATATCTTAAACTCTGCAGCAAATATTCACTTTGGGTGTTGCCATGGCAACCATGATTTTCCTTATTAAAAAAAAATGACACTGCTTCATTATCCTCTCAGCAATCAGTGTTTTTATTCAAAAGCGTCAAACATCTTCCGTGCATCAAACCTTTTGTGTTTTTACTGTTAAATCACATCAAGTGTTGCCACGGAAACAGAGGCAGCGGTGCTCTTGGAAACAAGTGAAGCTCGCTGGTCTTCAAGAGCTGAGCTCTCCCTCAGTTTGAGCTGGACTCAGCTCCTGAACACAGCACCGGACTCATCGTTCTGACAGCCAGCGAACGCCTCTGAAACCTCCTCCTCCTCCTCCTCTCAGGAAATGAAGTTGGTTTTTGGGACGATGTTGTCGACTTTGTGGTCTGCAGGGTTTGCCGTTGCCTCGTAGTTACAGATGGTCACTTCATGTCGGTGAGCCTAAAAAGATGGAAGAGTTCGAAGAGTTGGTTTGTTAAAACTAAAACTCAGAGCAGGAAGGAGAATTTACATTTATACATTAGTATCTTTAAAATGTCAGCCAAACTAAAACACCTAACGCAGCCAATCAGAGTTTCTTGTGGTTCAAACCGACCTGTGAGTATTCTCCTCTGAGACCGATGTAGTACACCCGGGTGTTCTCTGCTCCGAAGTTCTTCGAGATGTGGATGGACAGGTGATGAACGTTGGAGAAACGAGCGATCCTGCACAGAAAGACGGACAGAGAAACTCTTCAAGTTAACATAAAACAACAGCAACACCGTCTGTGTGAAAATGCTGGAACTCGTAAATTTATCCAAATCCACAAACAAAAAAATTAATTTAAAGTCCAGCTCAGTAAGAAACACCAAAGATTGTTTCTATTTAAAAAAGAACAAAAAAGGAAGTGAAAAGTTGGGCTGAAGGGAGAAAATCTATAAAAACTTTGATTGTTTTTTCAGATTCTTGAATGGATGAAGTTTTCGCTCTAATTAGAGTCGGCAAGATATCGGGGAAAGAAAATGACATTTAACAATTCCCGAGCTTAAAGTTGTAAATCAAGCTGAAAGCTCGTTCATGAGTAGATGTGTAAAATACAGAAATGAGACAAAGACGGTAAGAAAAGGGTTTCGTGAGCTCCTGTTCACAGATAAACAGCAGAAAACACATTTAGAGCTCAAACTCCCCACAGTGATTTATTTGAACCTGAACCTGAGTGAACGACGACAATCAGTCCAATCAGAGGACGGACAGTTCGGTACCGGAGTCTGAAGAATCCACTCGAACGTCGCAGAATCAGAGAAAAGTAACTGAACTCCTCAAAACTCTATGAGGGATTAAAAAGTTTCTAAAATATAAAGCAGACTGACAGAAGAGCCCACATCACTGGTCTGTAGCAAAGCTGGAAGATCCTTCTGCTCTCTCGTTGGACAGTTTGAGTCGTCATCATCCAAACTGACCAATCAGTTTGAAGCACAAACTGAAGGTCAAAGTTCATTTTGAAACTTAACACGCACAAAAAAAAATCTACTTTGCTTCTGACTGGATCTCGCAGCTCGTTCCAGCCTGGAACCGCAGGCGAGAACGTTCTGAACAGAGTCTGCGATAAGGAGAGCAGCAGAACCAAACGAGAGTCCCGAGAGGAACCGAGCGATCCAGAAGGATCATCAGCCTGAACGAGTGCCTGTAGACCCACAAGCAGTGGTCAATTTGAGCCGGATCCTGCCGGAACAAGATCCGGGAACTCCCTCGTTTTCACCGTGTGCGTTCCGGCAACTGTTCAATCGGATCCGTCAGCTCACATCTCCGCCCAGAAAAGTCATCGCGCATGTTTATTTTGATTATTTATTAAGAATACAACGAGAGGAGACGTCGTCCATGTCTGTGTGGATGTTACTGCGGCAGCAGGCGCAACAGCTCGTGCACACGCTGCTGCCAGCAGAGACGCTGATCGCATGTCCCGCGGGGGTGAAGCGTCTTCATCCACCTTCAGCTGTGTCTCAGACTCCAAAGCAGCAAAGAAATATTTTAACGGCACAAACGTAGCACTAACCACTCATTTATTTACTGGAGCTTTTGACGTGGGTGGGGTGTCGGCTTCAGCTGCGCGCCCTGCAGTCCGTGCACGTTTTAGGCACAGGAGCGTCTCCGGACAGCTCTGCAGAGCGCGCACAACTGCCAAGGTGTCAGAACTCCTGCATACATTTCAAAAGATAATAAATGAAAAAGCTTACAGTAAAAAAAAAAAAAAAATACGAGAGAAATGTTTGATGTGCGTGTTATTTACATCACGTTTCAAAATTAGTCAAAAATAACAGCGATCAAAATGTCAAAAAGACCGTCCAATTGATTATCTAAAATAAATAAATGGATGGACTGTCCTTAGTGGACAGCACAGAATTGAAGCAGCGGTGATGGAGACTGGAGCAGAACAACAAGCAGGACGAGAAGAGTTCGAGTCGGACATTGAAGTTTGTTGGGGGGGGGGGGGGGACGCTTGACAGAATTTGAGCTGCTATAATTCACTGCTCTATAAAATAATAATTTCAATTCATCCTTTATTTCTACAGGTTGTTCGTCTCATTGAGCCTCGTCATTTACAAGAGAGACTTGTTTTTAATCAAGTTAATCAAATGTTTACAGATGTTTTGACAACCTGTTAAAAGACACCAAAATGCTGGAAATGACATCTCTCTTTTATTCCAAATTTTCTGGTGTAGGAATCACAGAGACACCCCCCCCCCCCCCTCAGGACCGCCTACTATTTGTGTTCGGCATCAACTGTTTTACAAATTAAGCCCTGCCCACAAGTGTCTGTGTGGACTAGATCTGATTCAGGCAGACACAAAGAACCGGTGGAGTTTAATCTTATAAAACAGGTTTATTTGAAGGTGGTGGTGTTTGTTACGGTGGAAATCAGAGCTCGCACTGTCCACCAGGACTGACGGGGTCAAAACAAAACAAAAACAAGTCTGCGATGGGGTTTTCATTGTGCGTACATTCTGCAGAAACTGGATCTGGAGTCTCTAACCAGGAGGAAGAGGGAAGATCTCTAATCCAAAACTAATCTGTGACCTTTAACCTCCACCTGTGTGTTGTTGTTCGTTTGTTCTCGTGTTGTTGTTTGTTCTTGTTGTTTGCGTCGTTGTTTGTTCTCGTATTGTTGTCGTTTGTTCTCGTATTGTTGTCGTTTGTTCTCGTGTTGT